TTCACTTTCTATCCTAGGGATAAAGTTTCATGATTGATACCCAGATGTGTAGCTGTGTAGATTGTGTTGACGATAATGGACAATTGGAATGCAATTTGTGTGCACGAAAGTGTAAAGGCATATTGCAATTGAAAAGCACCCATTGTGTTATTGCACCAATTCAGAATGTAGCAATAAAAAACAGACCTAAGCTCATATAAAGTTTATTCGCGTTGTATACTCCAACATGCTTCAACATGTTCCTAGAGTCCCTATAAGGTCGGAATCAGACTACGTATTGAAAATTGAAATTGAAAATTAAAGATTGAAATTTTGATCAATAAGAACAAAAGATTTTTAGCTTCTATTATATCTAAATACAATAGGCACAGGCGATATAGGCATAGAGAATAAGGAATAACAAGCTGTCAAATCAGAGCTTTGGGATGTAATATCAAATTTACATCAGAGCTTTGATTGGATGGCTCGTTATTCATTGTTGCCTGTGCCTATTGTGTTTAAGCCTTAACAGGGACTTTATTAAGCCCAATCCACGATGCTAGAATTCTTGTCCACAGTTATTATGAAAAATCAGCAAGTTGATTGGCTACACATTTCTTAGTCCGAGAATTCGAATCGAGTTCTGTGAACACACGGTTTAAGTCCAGATCTACCATAGATTTTTAAGAGGGCAGGATGGGAAAAAAAGTTTTGTTCAGTTTGATTTTGTAAAACAAATATTGTTGTAGGTGGTTGTGATGTAATTTTATTTTGATGTTTAATTCGTTAGAATTGGAAATAAGTTGCCGATCTCTGAAAATTGATAAAGATATCTGTAAAGATATTAGTAAAGTACATGAAAAGAATATTAATTGACATAAATGTCATTCAGGATTTAATGATTGAACTAATATTATAAATCGTATTTTAAGTGGTTTAAACATGCCGTGCTGGTATTATGAAAAGAAGGAACTTCGCAATACACCTTCTATTCAAGAAGGTATCGATTATGAGACGGAATGTAGATATCGAAAAGAAGGTGCACGTTTTATAATAGACACTGGTACAAAAATGGATTTAGGTTATAACACGATGGCAACGGGTGTTGTTTATTTTCATCGATTCTACATGTTTCATTCGTTCAAAAACTTTCCGCGATATGTAAGTGCGTTTTATATATACATACAATGTAACTATGCATATATATTTGTTTGTAGTCTAAATTAATTATATGTGTCGACATTTGTGTGCATTAAAATATCATCTGAGAATTACATTATTATGACATATAGGTAACTGCTTGCTGCTGTTTACTCTTAGCTGGAAAAGTTGAAGAAACTCCAAAGAAATGTAAGGATATCATAAGGACTGCCAAAACTTTAGTGTCGGAACAAAAGTTTATGACGTTTGGAGAAGATCCTAAAGTGAGTTTTTAAGAGAGATGTTTCCATATTGGTACTAATGTATCAAGTTTGTTTTTTTTTTCTTTAGGAAGAAGTTTTGATCTTGGAGAGAATTTTATTGCAAACTATTAAATTTGATCTACAAGTGGAACATCCATATAGTTATTTATTAAAATATGCAAAATGTCTGAAAGGTAATTGTAAAGTTGTCTTTTTTTTTACTATAGAATTATATAGAACATCATTAGAAACGCTTAAAATGTATAGATATTTCTGATGAAAATTTTGTTTCATTTCTAGGTGATAAAAACAAGTTGCAAAAGATGGTTCAAATGGCTTGGACATTTGTTAACGATAGGTATATGAAGTTATAAATAAATAATAATATTAAAAATATTAACTACTGCACATGTTATTTTTGAAACAGTAAGTCTTTAATATATTTTTTTCAGTTTATGTACTACTCTATCACTACAGTGGGAGCCAGAGATCATAGCCGTCGCTCTAATGTATTTGGCAGGAAAACTAAGCAAATTTGAAGTGGTAGATTGGGTTGGAAGACAACCGAAACATTTACGCTGGTGGGATATGTTTGTTGAAGATGTGACTATGGATCTTTTAGAAGGTGATCTTGTACAATTTTCACCTTAAGAGGTTGTTTGTATCGCATGCTCTAACATGCTCTAAAATGCTCCTACCATAACATTTACTTACTCTAATGCGTGCGTTGAAGTGAATAAGAGCTATAGCAGGAACACTGGAGCATGCTGGAGCATGCGACGTAAACAAACCTAAAGTCTTCATCATTACCTGTTATTACAGATTAGTAATAACTAATAAAACATTGAATGTATTTCTAGATATTTGCCATCAGGTATTGGATTTATATTCGCAAGCTAATAATGCCAAACCACCAGATTCGCCACCTATGATACCTTCCAGCGAAATGTGTAGGGAACGATCTGTTACTGCTACTACTGTCGAATCTGCATCTAATACACCAAATGGTAAGTAATGGTAATACAGTATTGCCAATCACAAATGTATCGATTTGTAGCTCATTTGATTAAAAGTTATATTTTAAACATTAGAGTATTATAGTGTAATGGTTAACGAATGTTGCAGTTACACCTGGAAAATCCTCCAAAAGTATGGAAACATCAACGGTTTCTGCAAACGGATGTCCATCTACAGACGTCACAGACACAATAAAACCAATAGATACTTCAACGGCACACTTTCCTACTTACACGGCAAACTTTGCGTCTAACAACACAAATTATCCACCAGCATTTCCACCTACCAATGTTTCAGTTCCTCCTCCTCCTGTAAATACAATGAATCATATCGTGCCAACGATACATCATATTGGATCGTCCGCTGCTATTCGCCCTACACCACCGTCAGCACCGACTGCCAACCAAACGTTTCAACCATATTCCTATCCAACAAACGCATCATATTTTTCAGCGAATAATCCAATTCCACCGGCTGCACCGCCACGTAATTATTATCCACCGCAACCATAACGGAAAATAATATATCGCGCGTCTAATGTAAGTTGCATCAGCGCAGTTATCTTAATTTAAGGTAAACATTAGAGTATCGAACATTACTAATTTAATTGTAAATTTTGAGTATGTGTGTATTGTACATTTGCGATGTTATCAACAGCATATAATTGTATAAACTTTTTTTTGTACTATAAATGAAACGACAGTTCTTAATTTTTTTCTTTCTCCACATAACTCTATTAATATGTGTCAAAACAAAAAGAATTAGCGTTTGATTTATACTTGATTAATTCAGATATTGATCGATAGAAGAAAGAATGAATTAGAATTTACATTTCACATGTAAAGATTGCCTTTACTAAAAGGATTTTCCATAAATTTAGGTTGTAATTTACAAGGTATTTCATCAGTTAAAACTTGTAAAATTGGTTCTGCACATTTGGAATCTAACACAAAACTGTCGACATACAATATATATAACTTAGCTGATTTGCCAGTGAGTTCAGCATAGGACAAGACTGAAACAAGTAAATAAACAATGTCAATTCCATTGATTTTTATATAATATCCTTTGTATTTGGTACATGCGTTTCATGTATACTATGTGTAAATACCAACCTCCTGCACCTACTCCAAATACAATATTTGGTTGTTCCAATGACTCAATCCCACATTTTGTGACATTCACTGTTTTAGTAGCCAATACTCTTAAAAATGAAGCAGTCTCTGGGACGCTTGCACTTTGAAATTGCGATATATGACGACACAATATTGAAACTGTGTTTTCTGAACTTAATAACAAGTCATCTATCTGTAAAGATAGAAAAAGATATATATTTCTTTGATTTATAAACTGTATATTGAATAGATAGATGAATGTCATAAGCTAATCAGTACATACCTGATTTATAAATTTTCCAGTATTTTTTGTATCAAACAGTGGTAAAATTACACACACATATATTTGTTTGTCAATTTGATAAATAACTGAAACTTTTTTATGATTTTCATTTTCTATGATACATGCTTCTTTCATTTTTGGACATAAACATTGTTCCACAAATGCTAAAATAAAACAATTGGTCTAATAATATAATATATATAACAAAAAGTAAGACAATATAAAAAGAATATTAATATTACGAATTAATGGATCTCCTTCTATTATGATGAACTTTTTTATGCATTCTGGTTTATCTTTCAACCAGCGAACATATAATTTCCTAAAATTTTAATTATTTTTAGGTCATTTCATGCATAACAATAAGTTAAAGAATGAATAACAATCTGTTGACATCATAATTTTAACTCACGGAGAATGTTCTATATTATCAGTTGGTTCGTATTCATCCTCGTCATCCCAAAATGCTCGTGATGATGGAAATATTACTTCTCCGAAGTGACTAACCATTTTTTAATTAAATGTCCTATGAAAATAAAGAGAAATTAAAATGTCGAATCACAATGTTCTTTTAAATCGTATGTCGATTCTCTTCTTATAAAACGATCATTAATCATATGAATTGTATCAATGATAACCTTGTGTATTAAACTGCGGAGTCAAAGCAGGAATCGTCTCATCTGCGTGTCATGGATAAAATGCTGATATATAAATTATAACAACGTCAATTTTAATCATATGATCGAATTCAACAGTTGAGTGAGCGGAGTCACTGCTATTGATGTATTCTTCCAGATCTAAAATGCTGATTGGATGATCTAAAAGAATACACCAATAATAGCGAGCGCTCACTCAACTGTTGAGTCCGCTAAAAGCAGCCATTCTGTCACTGAAGGTGCCTTTTCATGCTGAGCTTTAACCGATTCAACGCTCATTTTCAGCGTCAAAATAGATCACGTGATCAAAATTGACAGCTAGATATTCGTCAATTTCTATCACGTAACTTATTTTGGCGCCGAAAATAAACCATTTTCGATCGACCATCGGCATGAAAAGTTACCTTAATATGTACCTCTCGAAATAGTGCAATCAGTGCAGGAACAGAAAACTAGTGACGTCCTAGAGTATTTCTTACTTTGGTAGGGACTTTTGGACACCATAAATGATTTCGTGCAGTGGCTATCGTTAAGTATTATAACCTTGTTCTGAATTCTGATTAACGCGATGATTAACATAGTACATGTTATTCATCGAATATTTTGAAACATTTTTTGTTAAATTTCATTTTTGTATACCGTGTTGCGTGCATCCAGTACTATTGATATCCAAGTGAGTGCCGTCTTTTTCCCGCCGGTTTCATCGTTTGTGTTGTCGCCGCCGCCGTTGTCGCCGCCGTCGTCGTCGTCGCCGTCGTCGTCGTCGCCGTCGCCGTCGCCGTCGTCGTCGTCGCCGTCGCCGTCGTCGCCGTCGCCGTCGCCGTCGTCG